CAAAGCGCTGAGCGACTTCCTCGACGCTGCAGAGCTCCTGCTGGCCGAGGCGGCATGCATCCCCGAGGGCGAACTCGACGACGAGATGATGGGGAAGACGAGGCATGCGTTGTCAGACCAGGCCACGCTCGCAGAGAAGCCTTTGGAGGGCGGCAAGATCAGCGCGAAGCGTTGGAAGGGCGTGAAGTGAGCGGCCCGCGGGGGAGGGAAATGGAAGGATGGGGAGGGGAGGGGAGAGGGGGAGCTCTCCCGATGAGGAATGGGAGGGGCAAGGAGGCGATGTCTCCTGTGAAGCGCGCGTTCGAAGTTCGAGTTTCGGACTCCGAACCTCGAAATTGGAATTTCGAATTGAAGTTGAATGCCCCCCCACCCCCATCCTGCTTCGGGCGCCGCCTTCGCCCGAAGCTGTTTGCCAGGCGACGGGCGCCTGGCGGGCCGCGGGGCGGGCGCGCCGCCATGTTCTCGAAGCGCCAGCCGGCGGTGGACACCAGCGCGCCGCCGCCTGCAAAGCGCTTTCGCGCCACCTTGCAGACGCACGCGATGAGGAATGCTCTTTCCTCGGGCGACATACAAAGGCTCGCCGCCGACGCCGAGGAAGGGGGGGGCGCGGGCGCTGGGGGCCCGAGAGCGGGGCGCGCCGACACTTGCAGGACCTTCAGGAGGGGAGTTATCAAGGGAACGTTGTGGCCGAAGGAGCACGTGGCAAAGGTCCGCGTGTGGAACACCAAGCGTCATCGAGAAGAGACAACAGAAGTGTCCCTGTTGCTACCGCACCAGGTCCTCCTGGCGCCGGGCAGGCACGGCGACCTGCACGTGCTGCTGCAGAAGCAGGGGCTGGATGAGGGTGACTGCGCGCGCACGCAGGGCGCGGGAGCGAAGCTGGGGAGCCCCGCGGTGGCCATCGGCTTGTGGCAGGACGGGGCCCCCACCAAGTGGGACAGATCTGCGTCGGTCGAAGCCCTCAGCGCGAACTTGCCTGGCCTTGACCCCGGCGGACCCTACGGCAACTTCAGAATCCCATTGTTCAGCATTTTGGAGAGCCACTTGTCCACGAACACCTGGCACGACATCTTCGGCATCATACAGTGGAGTTTTCTGTCTTTGTGGAGAGGCTTCTGCCCGCGAGAGCGGCGCGACAAGACGCCGTTCTCGCGCCCCTCGGATACAGCTCAACAAGCGCGAGCCGACCGCAGGACCCTCGAGGTCCCCCCCTTGCCAGCCCGCGGTGCCCTGGTGCAGTTTCGCGCGGATTGGAAAGCGTGGACAGATTTTTTTTTTTCACATACACCGCCTGGAACGAGGGCCCTGGGCGCTGCTGGAAGTGCAACGTTCTCCCGGGGGAGGCGACTGGCCCCGCGCAAACGCGGAGGGGGAGGAGGGGGAGGAGGAAGAAGAGGAGGATGGGGGAGGAGGAGGAGGAGGAGGAGCAGGAGGAGGATTCTTGGTAACACCTGGCTCTGTTTCCGCGTTCCCTGTTACCTCCCCGCCCCCCTGCGCGCGACCCCCAGGTGACGACGCAGACGTCGACGAGTTCTCGGTGGACGAGGCCAACGAGCAGGCGCTCGCTGCAGGACGTGATCGCCATCATCTTGCGCAACGCAGGCCGCGCCTCGCCTGTGCTGAGTATCCCTGGCATCGCGATCGACGTGTTCAAGGTCGACTGGTTGCGCGCCGTGGACCAAGGGGTCGGGGCGGATTTCGTGGGGGCCTTCTTCTGGCACATCATGGAGAAGCTCCCGGCGCGCCGCCGCGCGCAACAGAGCGACGAGATGCGGAGGCTCACCCAGGCGCACTACGACGCGCTCTCGACGCCCGACCGCCTCCACGACTTCAACGAGCGCACGGTGAAGCCCAAGAAAGCGCACCCGAAGTTCCGCGGCCAGGCGGCCATCCTGAGGCATCTGATCCCATTCTGCAAGGAAACGGCCGAGACGCATTGCGTTTCTGGGAGTGCCGTGGACGACGCCGCGCTGAACGCCATGCGCCATTTGCACTCCTGCTACCACGCGTTGAGCGGCCAGTGCATCTTCAGAAAGGATATGATGCGCGACTCCGCCAGCAGGTTCGCGATTTTGTTCGCCTCTCTTGCTGCGCTGCAGCCGAGGAATTGGCGCGTCAAGCCGAAGGCGCACCTGCTCGAGATGGCCTTCGCGGGAGGGCAGCCGTCGCTGTGCTGGACCTGCAGGGGCGAGGACTTCGGGGGCAGCGTGGGCCACGTGGCGAAGAGGCGCGGCCCCCCGCTCTCAGCGACGGGCTTCTCCCGAGCGGTGATCGCGCGCCGCCGCGCGCAGCCGACGGCGCGGCTCGTGCGACAGCCGCGCGCGCGGACAGAAAAAGCGCACGCGCCTCAGCGCTTCGGAGGAGCGGCGCATCCTGCTCCACCAGGGCGCACGCGCCCTCTTCAGGAGGTCACACCTCCTTTTTCGAATGTTACACCGCGTTTGAGCATGCGTCGACGCTGATCGTCGCTAATTTTTAGCGTCGACGCTAAATTTAAGGGTGATATTTTTAAGGCCGGCTACTAAATATGCAGCTGCACTATAAGCATAGATGGATTTACATGGACTGGTCGAGGTCGAGATGTTGCTGTGTGAGGTCGTGGCTTCGAAGAACTGCACTTATCACTGAGGCGGGTTTAGTCCGGTGCAGCTGGTCCTGGGTCGGGGTCCGAAGGCGCCGCGCTCGCTTTTGTCGGATGATGACACCGACCTCGTTGGCTGTGAAGACGTGCTCGGGGGGGCAGCCCAGCAGGGCTCTGCAGGTGCCGAGTTCGCGCGTTGGCATGCCATTCGGCAGGGGGCCAAAAAGGCCGCGGCAGCGCTGGGCGCGCGCTCCAGGCTGTCCGAGGCCAGTCGCGCTCGCCGTCGTGCCGATCGCTCTTTCAAGCCAGGCGGATGGACATGCGTCTGGAGGCGCGCGACAGCCTCCAACCGCTCTCATTCCTTACAGGGAGACAGGTGGACTGGTCCTGGAGCGTTGTGGTCTATCAAAATTGTGGGACGGTGCGGGTTGCGATGCCCACTTAGCTTCTCGAGCGCTCCGAGGAGCAGGTTCGGGCCGCTGCTCGACGGGGGCGCCCCGGCGCCGAGCCGTTGGATTCGGCGCGTTTTGACGACCTGCGCGAGCGGGCGAGGGCCCCGGTTCGGAAGACGGGCGCGGTGGGCGGCGCTTCGGAGGGCCCTCCGCCTCCGGGGGCCTGGGGCGGGCCCGGCTCGGGGGAGCGCGGGCGCGAGTCTCCGGATTCCAGGGTTCTCCATCCGAGCAGGGAGGTCTCCTCAGTCAATCCTCCTCCTCCTTCGTCTTCCCCCGCTCCCGCGGCTGCTCCGCCCCCTGCTGTCCCCCCCCTCCTCCTCCTCCTCCTCCTCCTCCTCCTCCTCCTCCTCCTCCTCCTCCTCCTCCTCCTCCTCCTCCTCCTCCTTCTCCTCATCCACCGGCCAGTCGGGATGAGACGGATTTCCCCGAGGCCTCTGAGCCTTCGACGGCGCGCGCCACGAGCGGATCCACCGGGCTGGAGTCGGTCGGTGGCCAGCGAGGGCTGGCCAGACCAGGCGAAGCCGGTGGGGGCAGAGCTGCGCGCCCCAGACTGACCCCATCGAGTCCGTCGTTGGAGAGCAGGAGAGAGTTCGGAACATGGTTCGAAGTCGAGACTGCACAGGCGGCGGCCCCCGCGGGGTCCGGCCCGGTGATTCCCCCTCCGGGCCCGCTACAAGTTCACGGCAGGGTCTCCAGAGTCAGGTCAATTTCTTTGCCTCGCGCATCGTCGAGAGCGGCAGCGAGGGCTGCTGGCGCCCCATTCCCTCCCGCTACCTCTGCTCCTGCTCCTCTGGCTCCCCCTCCTTCTCCTCGTCCTCCCCCTCTCCCCAGTGCCCCCGAGCCCGAGGCGGATTTGGGGGTCGCCGCCGGCTTCCGTGGGCTCGCTGGAGTCTCAGATGAGGTCCAGGATGAGTTTCTTCTGGATGAGCTAAGGTGCTGGTCTGAGGTTCGTGGGGGCCCTCGCTACATGGCTCTGTTCGAGCACCCCGGGGACGAGCATTTGGAGGAGTACACTTACGCCAGAAACGTCGGGGGCTCGGACGAGGTTTCCAATCCCAGGGGAGCTGAAACGTCGGGGGCTCGGGCAAGGTTCCTCATTCCGGCCGAGCGCTCAGTTCGCCGAGTCTGACCTCTCCGAGTGGGAACCGATTTTGTCTTCGAGCGCGGTGCGAGTTTTGCCCCCAGACGAGGCTCGCCTGGCCCGGCGCTGGCATCCAGACCAGGCTCTGCCGTCGCGCATGGTGCGCCGTTTCAAGCCCATGGAGGGGGCGGGCTCTGCGGCGAAGGCTAAATCGAGATGGCGCGTTCACGGGCGCCAAGGCGCAGGCGGGGAAAGTTTGTCGGTTTATGCCCCCGCCTCGCCGACGGAAAGCATACTCGTCACCTTGCAGGCGGTCGCCCCGATGGGCTGGTGTCTGAACGTGGCTGACGCCAGGAACGCGCCCTGCAAAAGCAATCGTCTGGAAAGACCGAATGGGGCCATATACGCGGAGCCTCGCAGCGGTTTTCGCCTGGAGCCCGGCTTCCTGATTGAACTGGTCGCACCTGTGTACGGGTTGAACGATGTCCCTCTCCTGTGGCACAGAACCTTGGCAGATTTTCTAGCGTCTCATGGATTTGTGAAATCCTTGCTTGAGCCTTGCCTGTGGCTCAAGCGGAGCAAGCTTTGAAGGCTGGAGGGCCTCGTACTGATTGAAGTGGACGATCTCATCGTCTCAGGTGAGCGAGTATCTTGTCTCCTTCCGGCCAGCTTTGACCATTCGTTTTAAGTTCGGGAAGTGGAAAGAGCGTGAAGCCGAGTGCGCGGGTCGCAGGCTCATTCAGTTGCCTAGCGATAGTTTGATCGATCAGTAGAAATACATCAGATAACAGTTTTCGACGATGTCTTGGGGAAAAGATCGGCGTCCACTCCCGAATCGCCCTTGACGCGAGACGAGATCAGCTCGCGTCGTGCGGCGGTCGCTCAGGTCCAGTGGCTTGCACGAGAGTCTCGTCCTGACGTCGCCGGCTCGGCGTCGCTGCTGGCCGCGGCACTGCCGCCCCCTACTGTTGCCGACGCGCTGGCCCTTATAAAGACCTGCAAGTTTTTGAAAGCGTCGCCCGAGCAGCGCCTGGCGATCTGGTCTCTTGACCCTGCGTCGGTGGTCTTCGCGATTGCCAGCGACGCTGGCGGGCCCAGCAGTGCGAGTCGCGGTGGGGCCCAAGGGGCCTGGCTTATCACGGCTGCGGACTCGGCCATCTGGGAGAACCGGAGAGCGCGAGTCAGCTTGCCGGCGTGGAGATCGATGGGAATCAAGAGAGCCGCGTCCAGCACGGCGGCGGCGGAGACGCCGGCCCCCTCGGGGGCCACGGGCGAAGCCCAGCGGTTGCAAGTCCTCTGGATGGGCGCGGTTTTCGGGGGCGCCCCACGGCCAGACTGGCTCGAGAAGCAGGGACCTTTCTCGATCATGGTGGCCAGAGAGCGCCAGCTGAGCGAGGCGGCCTCAGGGCCGTCAGTGGCGGCCGCAATTCGGCGGGGCCCCGGGCGGGCCGTAGGAGCGCAGTCGAGTTGGCTGTGATCAGAGATTCGTTGGCCTCGATCGGCTCTAAGGTGAGATGGGTTCCCCATGGCAGGCTGCCATCATGCCCACTTACTAAGGTTGACCCGACGGGAGGGAATCATGCTCTCAAGGACTTGCTGTCCCGCGACTCTCGCGCTGGCAGACGGGCGCGGACACCTCGACGAGAGGTCTTTTTATGTGTCTCTGAAGTCCAGATCCAAGGCTGCGAGCGAAAGAGCGTTGTCCGAGGAGTCGAGAGCTACTGACTTGTCCGATCCCGCGTGGGTCGCGGCTCCAGGGGGGGCCAGGAGCTCTGTTCGAATCCTTGAGTATTGGGAGTGGCTGCGGCCCCTCTTTATATTTCGGTGGCGCGGCGGCGGCGACGGCGACGGCGACGGCGCCCGCGGATCGCCCGCAGACCCGACCGCCCCAGATCGCGAGTTGCTCGGAGATGTTGCGGCATGACCGCAGCAGGGACGGGCATGAGGAGGAGCGGGAGGAGAGAGGAAGAGACGGGGGACGCGAGGCCCCGAGGGTGCTCTGCGGTTACAATCCCGCGAAAGTTTGGCCCGCCGTCGTCCCTAATTCGCCGTGTCTAGGGGTCTCTTGGGGCTCTCGGGGCCGTGCTCCTCCCCCTCTTTCCCCGCCCCCTTCGTGCTTTTCCCCGCCGCGGCATTTTAGGCTTAGATGAGACTAGAGCTCGCTTGTTTGATCTCTGAAGTGCTACGTGAGAAACGCGTGCCTCCTTTCCTGGCCCCCTCCTAGATCCATGCCGTCGGATGGTGATCCTTCCTCCTTCCCCGTTCTCCTCGTCATCCTCTCCCTTCTTGTCCTCGTCACCTTCCTCCGCTCCCCCTCATGCCGATGTATAGTTCCTCCCCTATTCTCCCACGTTCTCCGTCTGCCCCTGTCCCCCGCGGGAATTGATACGTCGAATATCTATGGTGCGTTCGCAGGCCAACCCCCGCGCGCAAGAATGGGGGATCCAAAAACCCTTCGATCATTACTAAACTTACCGAGGCCTTCACTGATCTTGTACATGCAGTCAATCATGCGGTTGGTTTTGGAGAAAGAATCGCGGGACACACTATGACCACCCGATCCTCCTATGACATAGGACGAGACATCGAAACCGATCTGCTCGAAGTGCACAAAGCATGTGTACTGATATCCACGGCGGTTGCTCTCGTCGCTGAGCATCCTAGTGGCATTCCGAAGCCAAATGCGACGCGCCCATGGACACGCAGGAGGGGGGCGGTTGGAAACTCGTCCACCACGGACGAGGTCATATATCATATAAGCTCGAGCCCATGTTTCCACAGTTCTTGGGGCCAGGAAACGGACTCTAGAGGTTGAACAAGTAAACACGACTGCCATGACGGTTCTGTTTTTGCCCACGCCCAGGTGGCTCCAGGAGTAAAAAGTGGACCCCCGGACCCGTCCAACGGTGGGTGTGCATTATGGCCAGAATGTCCAAGGCGGGGCCACCGTGGCCATGAGAGCGCTCCAGGATGTTCAAAAAATAGGCGGAGCACGTCCAAACCCTCCAGCCCCGTGACAGAGCTCGAACCCTCGAACCTCGAGGCGCCTCGCCCCCCCCCGACGAGGCGGGGCGTGGTGCGGCTCACGGGCACGCCCAAGACGATTTTCTGCTCGCGGCCGCGGGGGGGGGGGGGGGCGGCCGCGGTTGCCCGGGCTTTTGGGCATGGAGGCCGCTTAGGCGCGGCCGCCAGCGCGGGAGGTGTCGAAGATCTCCGCCGATGCGGCATTTTGTTCCCATCCTGGCGTTTCGTACAATGGAGGCCTTCAGACCTGCACGAGGCGTTGCTGGCACGGAGCGAGCGGGGGGTGTACATGTGGTCCTGGCGTTTTTCCTCGGCTTGGGCCTCCCGGAAGCCGTTTTCCGGCCCAGGGACAATCAAGCAAGGGTTTAGGTCTAGGCTTTCTAGATGGGGTCGGAGGGGCTTGGTGTGGGGCCTAATGTTCTCCACGCCAACCTTGGCGATACATCGTTGACGTCGCCAGTGCATCGCCGATGTATCAGCGATGTATCGCCGATGTATCGACGGTGCGGCGAGATCTTCCGACCCCATCTAGGAGGCCTCCACTGGGACAACGAACGACGCAGGGAAGGGAGCGGGACCCAGTGGGCGCCCGCAGATTGACCAAGTGTCATCGTTTGATGTCTGGTGCTTGACATGCCGTCTCGGGGGCACCAGTTACCTAGCGGGAGAGACCGTTGTTTTTCCGAGCGTTTCGACGGCCTTGTGCGGTCCGGGCTCCAGAGTCTATGATTGCAGCTCGCATGTGCTTTATATATGTGCGATGTGTGTTCACGTTCGCCTCGCCGAGTTACAATGTCTGGACGTGTGGGCTTCCCTTCCTTCAGCTTTGCAATTGCACTGGAGACAGTGCTTGTCCTCATCCCGCCTGAGCGGGGTAGCTACTCTTTATCATCATCGTCCCCCCAAACAGCCTCGCCTAGTGAACGGGCACAACGGAAGGTTTGGAATAAGTTTCGGCTTCTAAGGGCCGCCCCCAGGTTCTGGGACCGTAAAATAATTGCTCAGGCTGAATAGCCGGCCCTAGGGAAGGTGTCAAAATCCCCCAGGGTTTGTATCACGAAAAAGTGTTGAAGGCGGAGGAGAGGGTCGTCCGTCTTTCTTACTCACTCTGCCCTCTTCAGATTCGGCATCTGACGGCTCCGGGGTTCAGGCCCCCGGGCCGTTAACAAAGATTATTGGGATGAGCAAGTGGACCCCAGGAAGAGGTCGGGAGTTGCGGGAGAGGAGGGGGTGAGGGTGGGGTTGGAGGATCGAGGTTTGGAAGGTTTCTTATTTGTCTCTACCCTCCTGTGTTGTTCGTTCCTCGTTTTGAATACGCAGTGCCGCACGTCTACTCCTCTCCCCTAACCTCCTCCCCCCTCCTTCTCTCATCAGCAGCAGCATCCTCTTCCACCTCCTCCTCGTCCTCCTCCCCCTTCTCATCCTCCTCCTCATCATCAGTATCATTATCCGTATCAGTATCAGTATCATTATCATCAACGGGGGGCTACATGCTGCTGTTTTGCCGATGCTGCCCCTGCAGCTGCCAGCCGAACGCAGCATGCCCACCTCGGCACACACCTCACGCAGACCGTGGCCCCATAGGGAGCTCCAGCTACGGCCCCAGTGACGGCGTTCACGTGTTTTCCGTGAACATTTCCGCATACCGCTCTCGCGGTGATCGTGGCCCCGTGGGGAGTTCCATCTGCGGCCCCGGTGAGGGGATCCCCATGTGCCCACCTGCCCATTTCGGTACACAAACCCACACACACACACACCTCACGCGGGTCGTGGCCTCACAGGGAGCCCCACCTACGGCCCCAACGAGGGCGTTCACATGTGTCTCCCCGCACATCTCGGCACACCCGCACGCAGATCGTGGCCCCCACGGGGAGCTCCACGCACGTCTCTCACATGGATCGATCACCATAGGCATCTGTTTCGGATCTCAACGGGAATCCTGCAAAGGCGGCGCCTTTGCCCATCTCGGCGCACCCTTGACACGGATCGTGCTCCACAGAGAACTCCAGCCAGCTACGGCCTCAGCGGGTGCGTTGAAATTCGGGTTTCCGCCCATCTCGGCCCGTCATGCGGATCGCGCCCTTTCGACAGAGTCCCAGAGGGAGATTCAGCATGCAAGTCACATTAAGCTTCAAAAAGGGCCAGGTCGTTCGCCAGGGTATTATCTGTTCTTCCAGGGACCCGTGGAGGACTCCAGGGGCTTCCGAAGTCTTCTCGATACCCCCACGGAGGCGTCTGGGCAAAGAGGTGAGGAGGTGGAGAAGGAAGAGGAGGAAGGAGGAAAAGCACAAGAAGGGAACAGGGGGCGGGGGCGGGGGAACAGGGGGGGGAGGGGGACTGAGACACGGATTGGGAGAGCAAGGGCGAGGTGGAGGTGGAGGAGGAGGAGGAGGAGGAGGAGGAGGAGGAGGCGTGAGGGGGGAGGGGGGGAGGAGGCAGGGATCGCCGAGCTCCTCGGCGCCGTCTTTGTCGAGCGACGGCCCGGGTGCCCGCACACGCCCGCCAGGAACGACAGGCGGCCCGACTGCACCGACATTGTCGCTGCCGTGAGGATGGGCCTACCGGTGCGCCCGCTCGTAGACAACGTCAGACGCACGTGGGGCCGTCGCGTTTTGGAGGATCCAGACGGGAACGGCGCGTGATCAATCTCGGTCGTTCGTCTTCGGATCTCTTCCTCCCGGTCCTGAGCAGCATCCCCCTTCCTCCCCCATCGTCTGTTCAGGCGAGCTGCATGGCGCTTACGCCCGCAGCGTCGGCCTCCTCCCCCCTCCCCCGTGCTCCTTGAAGTGGGCCTCGATCTGGGGGGGCGGTGCGACGGGGCGGCGGGCGGGCCGCCAAGGCTTGGCCAGAAGAGAACGCCAGCCCCAGCGGCTATTCGCTCGGCCATCGGGCTCTCTTTGCGTCGGATTCGTGCTCTTCCTCATGCAATGACCTCATCTTTCTCGGCCTCTTTCCCTGATCCTCTCGCCCCTCCTCTCCCACCCTCCTTGTCAAATCTATCTCCTCCTCCTCCTCCTCCTCTTCCTTCTCCTCCAGTTGATAGAGCTCGGGAGGGAGGCGCAGAGAGCAGCACAGCACCACCGCAGCCGATCGGTACGGACCTCATGCCAGATCGTGGTTGTCTCACTTGCTTTGCGTACCGAAACATATCCCATCCCATGTCTCTTTCGATTTCTTGTTATCCATTCATTGTCATTGCTATGGCACGCCTCACGGCCTAACCAACCACGGATCTCCTCATACTACGCCGTTACAAAAGTTCGTCACGTTTCATGAGAACTTGAAGGTGGCATGGGTTTCGTGTCTTCCTTCCGCGTGAGCAAGCGGGCAGAGGCTGACCACTGCCCTGGCCGCGCCGAGCTGGCCCCCCTTTCCCCCTTAGAATCCTAGCGGACTGAGTCAAGAGCGGTCGGATCAAAGATCCGGGATTTCTAAAAGTGGGATTTCATCCCTTACTATAATAGTATAGATTTAAAACGGGACATTTTGAAATCCCGACGTAAATTCACACGGTTCTAGAAATCCCACCGGGGCGGGATTTGTCTTTGCTTATGCAAGATGATCGACTTTTATTTTATGACGAAACTTTTGTAACGCCGATGAGGGATCCACGATGGCGACGCATCATCATTCACCCCATCGATTTCATCGCACGCCGGACAAACAAAGGCTTCGCCTGCCGCGCCGGATAGGGAAGGCTACGCCTGCCGCGCCAGATTTCCATGGGATCGACGCTCGCCGCGCGGTGTCTGAAATACCGCTGAGGGATCCACGATGGCGACGCATCATCATTCACCCCGTCGATTTTATCGCACGCCGGACAAACAAAGGCTTCGCCTGCCGCGCCGGATAAGGAAGGCTACGCCTGCCACGCCAGATTTCCAGAGGATCGACGCTCGCCGCGCGGTGTCTGAAATACCGCTGAGGGATCCACGATGGCGACGCATCATCATTCACCCCATCGATTTCATCGCGCGCCGGACAAAGGCAGCGCCGCCTGCCACGCCAGATTTCCAGGGGATCGACGCTCGAAAGCTGAGGGATCCACGATGGTCGCATCATCACCCCATCGATTTCATCGCACGCCGGACAAACAAAGGCTTCGCCTGCCGCGCGGGATAAGGAAGGCTACGCCTGCCACGCCAGATTTCCAGGGATCCACGATGGCGACGCATCATCATTCACCCCATCGATTTCATCGCACGCCGGACAAACAAAGGCTTCGCCTGCCGCGCCGGATAGGGAAGGCTACGCCTGCCGCGCCAGATTTTCCATGGGATCGACGCTCGCCGCGCGGTGTCTTGAAATACCGCTGAAGGGATCCACGATGGCGACGCATCATCATTCACCCCATCGATTTTATCGCACGCCGGACAAACAAAGGCTTCGCCTGCCGCGCCGGATCAGGAAGGCTACGCCTGCCACGCCAGATTTCCAGAGGATCGACGCTCGCCGCGCGGTGTCTGAAATACCGCGAGGGATCCACGATGGCGACGCATCATCATTCACCCCATCGATTTCATCGCGCGCCGGACAAACAAAGGCGTCGCCTGCCGCGCCGGATAAGGAAGGCTACGCCTGCCACGCCAGATTTCCAGGGGATCGACGCTCGCCGCGCGGTGTCTGAAATACCGCTGAGGGATCCACGATGGCGACGCATCATCATTCACCCCATCGATTTCATCGCAATAGGACAAACAAAGGCTTCGCCTGCCGCGCGGGATAAGGAAGGCTACGCCTGCCACGCCAGATTTCCAGGGATCCACGATGGCGACGCATCATCATTCACCCCATCGATTTCATCGCACGCCGGACAAACAAAGGCTTCGCCTGCCGCGCCGGATAGGGAGGCTACGCCTGCCGCGCCAGATTTCCATGGGATCGACGCTCGCCGCGCGGTGTCTGAAATACCGCTGAGGGATCCACGATGGCGACGCATCATCATTCACCCCATCGATTTATCGCACGCCGGACAAACAAAGGCTTCGCCTGCCGCGCCGGATAAGGAAGGCTACGCCTGCCACGCCAGATTTTCCAGGGGATCGACGCTCGCCGCGCGGTGTCTGAAATACCGCTACGCCGTGGCGTCACGTTTCATGAGAGTTTCATGTTTCGTGTCTTCCTTCCGCGTGAGCAAGCGGGCAGAGGCTGACCACTGCCCTGGCCGCGCCGAGCTGGCCCCCCCTTCCCCCTTAGAATCCCAGCGGACTGAGTCAAGAGCGGTCGGATCAAAGATCCGGGATTTCTAAAAGTGGGATTTCATCCCTTACTATATAGTATAGATTTAAAACGGGACATTTTGAAATCCCGACGTAAGTTCACACGGTTCTAGAAATCCCACCGGGGCGGGATTTGTCTTTGCTTATGCAAGATGATCGACTTTTACTTTATGTCGAAACTTTTGTAACGCCGATGAGGGATCCACGATGGCGACGCATCATCATTCACCCTATCGAATTCATCGCGCGCCGGATAAGGAAGGCTACGCCTGCCACGCCAGATTTCCAGGGGATCGACGCTCGCCGCGCGGTGTCTGAAATACCGCTGACTGATCCACGATGGACAAACAAAGGCTTCGCCTGCCGCGCCGGATAAGGAAGGCTACGCCTGCCACGCCAGATTTCCAGGGGATCGACGCTCGCCGCGCGGTGTCTGAAATACCGCTAGGGATCCACGATGGCGACGCATCATCATTCACCCCATCGATTTCATCGCGCGCAACCCTGCGCATCATCCGCCATGATCGCCATTGCGTTAGACCAGTCTGCTTGCCTACGATGAGTCTTCGCCGTGCACGCCGGACAAACAAAGGCTTCGCCTGCCGCGCCGGATAGAAGGCTCACGCCTGCCCGCCAGCTTTCGAGGGGAATTCGACGCATCCCGCGCGGTTCTGAATACAGGTTCCTCCCACGATTGGCTGACGCATCATCCATTTCAGCCCCCATCGATTTGCATCGCGCGCGACCCTGCGCCAACGGGACACTGCCCCGAGTGACAATTAATCCCTGCTTGGGGCCTACGAAGTGAAAGGATTCGCCGTGCAAGCCGGACAAACAAAGGCTTCGCCTGCCGCGCCGGATAAGGAAGGTTACGCCTGCCACGCCAGATTTCCAGGGGATCGACGCTCGCCGCGCGGTGTCTGAAATACCGCTACGCCGTTACTAAAGTTCGTCACGTTTCATGAGAGCTTGAAGGTGGCATGGGTTTCGTGTCTTCCTTCCGCGTGAGCAAGCGAGCAGAGGCTGACCACTGCCCTGGCCGCGCCGAGCTGGCCCCCCCTTCCCCCCTAAATCCTAGCGGGCTGGGTCAAGAGCGGTCGGAATCATAGAATCCCGGGATTTCTAAAGTGGGATCATCCTTTACTTAATGTATAGATTTAAAACGGGACACTTTGAAATCCCGACGTAAATTCACACGGTTCTAGAAATCCCACCGGGGCGGGATTTGTATTTGCTTATGCAAGATGATCGACTTTTGTTTTATGACGAAACTTTTGTAACGCCGATGAGGGATCCACGATGGCGACGCATCATCATTCACCCCATCGATTTCATCGCGCGCAACCCTGCGCATCATCCGCCATGATCGCCATTGCGTTAGACCAGTCTGCTAGCCTACGATGAGGCTTCGCCGTGCACGCCGGACAAACAAAGGCTTCGCCTGCCGCGCCGGATAAGGAAGGCTACGCCTGCCACGCCAGATTTCCAGGGGATCGACGCTCGCCGCGCGGTGTCTGAAATACCGTGAGGGATCCACGATGGCGACGCATCATCATTCACCCCATCGATTTCATCGCGCGCAACCCTGCGCATCATCCGCCATGATCGCCATTGCGTTAGACCGGTCTGCTCGCCTACGGTGAGGCTTCGCCGTGCACGCCGGACAAACAAAGGCTTCGCCTGCCGCGCCGGATAAGGAAGGCCACGCCTGCCACGCCAGATTTCCAGGGGATCGACGCTCGCCGCGCGGTGTCTGAAATACAGGATCCACGATGGCGACGCATCATCATTCACCCCATCGATTTCATCGCGCGCAACCCTGCGCATCATCCGCCATGATCGCCATTGCGTTAGACCAGTCTGCTTGCCTACGATGAGGCTTCGCCGTGCACGCCGGACAAACAAAGGCTTCGCCTGCCGCGCCGGATAAGGAAGGCTACGCCTGCCACGCCAGATTTCCAGGGGATCGACGCTCGCCGCGCGGTGTCTGAAATACCGCTACGCCGTTACAAAAGTTCGTCACGTTTCATGAGAGCTTGAAGGTGGCATGGGTTTCGTGTCTTCCTTCCGCGTGAGCAAGCGGGCAGAGGCTGACCACTGCCCTGGCCGCGCCGAGCTGGCCCCCCCTTCCCCCCTAGAATCCTAGCGGACTGAGTCAAGAGCGGTCGGATCAAAGATCCGGGATTTCTAAAAGTGGGATTTCATCCCTTACTATAATAGTATAGATTTAAAACGGGACATTTTGAGATCCCGACGTAAATTCACACGGTTCTAGAAATCCCACCGGGGCGGGACTTGTCTTTGCTTATGCAAGATGATCGACTTTTATTTATGACGAAACTTTT